TTCTAACACAAATGCAATATTTGATTTCTGTGTTATTTCCTGTTTTCAAAAAATTGCAATCCAGAAATTTATCACCAACACCCTCCCTCCCCCTCCCCTTGATATCTGGAATTAGCTACTGTATAAGTTCCCTGCTTAATAATCTAGAAAATCACATATAGTTACTACACAGACCTTCATTCAATTGTGTGGAACACACTAAGGGCTAAATAGACAAGGGTATTATATATTTTACTTATAAATACTCAGGTATGTTAGTCCTTCCTAGGGATTGCTGTTTAATGTCCTCATTAAAGAAAAACCTCTCCCTCTGGAAGGTGAGGGAAGGTGGGTGGATGGGAGGTAATCAATCAAAGACCTTGTATGCATAGATGCATAACCCATGGACACAGACAATAGAGTGCTGAAGGACTGGGGTGGCGGGGGGGTGGTGGAGGTCGGGCTGGCTGAAGGGGATCAGTAGGGGAAAATATTTATTTTAAAAAAAGAAAAATTTAAATTGTCAACATACTATTTAAGGACTCGTGTATAACAAATTCATTGACAGGCAAAATGAGGAAATCTTTTAATAAACACTATGCTCTTAACTGAAAAATATGAAATTCACTGCATGTTAATAAAAAATTTAAAAAAAGAAAAATCTCTTCCTCTCAGTACAACTTTCTACGTGTCTCCAAATAGTATTTGTTAGCTTATGTTAATTTCTAAAGATGTAATTAGATGCAAATTGATGTTAGACTTGTTAATGATATTAGCCTACAAGAAAAATAAGTGGTTACATATATGGTCAGCATGTTACCTTGAGTGCAGAATCTGTTTCTTATTCATCTTTATTTCCTTAGTCTTAGTGCTTTTCAGACCTTCGCTTGCCTCAGAATCATCTGGAGAGCTTGTTAAAATGCTTATTGCTGGACTTGATCTAAGAATTCCCAATTTAATAATTCTGGGACTGAACTTGAGAATTTGCATTTCTACCATGCTCCTAGATGAGGCCAGTTATGCTCAGCCAGGGACCACTGGAAGAAACTAGTCTAAAGTAATAAGCACATAACTTGGTATAGAGATGGAGCATGTTAAACAGTTTGTGAAGTGCTGCTATCACTGAATTCCTCATGCTGTTTTCAACTAAACTGTTCTGTCTACACTCTATTTTCAAGTGAAGAGGCTGTTTATATTTATATTTAGTTATAGGACTATATTTACATACATTTACTAGAAAAACAAAAGGTAGTAATATTAGAATCATAATGTTTTTGTGCTGCTTTTTAAAGCATCATCAGGACAAACTTTTCAAAATTAGCCCTTAAATTAAAAGTTTTTAAAATGTTGATTAGTCAAACAATGTATCCTATTTAATAAAAGAGTAATATGCAAATTGACCGTCGCTCCAACTCACAAGATGGCTGCCCCCATGTGGTCAAAGATGGCTTCCCCATGTGGACACAAGGTTGCCACCACAAGGTGGCCAGTAGGGGAGGGCAGTGCAAGGAGAGGGCAGTTGTGGGCGATCAGGCCAGCATGGGAGGGTAGTTGGGAGGGACAAGGCCTGTAAGGGAGGACAGTTGGGGGCAATCAAGGCTGCAGGGGAGGGCAGGTAGGGGTGACCAGGTCAGCAGAGGAGGGAAGTTGGGGGCAACCAGATATGCAGGGGAAGGCAGTTGGTGGAGACCCAGGCCTGCAGGGAAGAGCAATTGGGGGGACCAGGCCTGCAGATGAGGGCAATTAGAGGTGACCAGGCCTGCAGGGGAGGGCAGATAGGGGCAAACAGGCTGGCAGGGGAGCTCTTAGGCATCAATCAGGCTGGCAGGGGAGAGGTTAGGGGGTGATCAGGCTGGCAAGCAGAAGCTGTTAGGGGCAATCAGGAAGGCAGGCAGGTGAGCAGTTGAGAGCAAGCAGTCCTGGATTGTGAGAGGGATGTTCAGCTGCCCATTTTGGCCCGATCTCAGTAGGATTGGTCCTAAAGGGCAGTCGTACATCTCTTGAAGGGTCCCAGACTGGAGAGGGTGCAGGCACAGGCTGGGCTGAGGGATACACACCCTTGTGCATGAATTTCGTGCACTGGGCCTCTAGTTTATAAATAATGAACAGTTTGTCATTATTTATTTTAAAACCTCTTTATAAATGAAAATTAGTCTATAATTATAATTAATCACTACTAGTTGAAATACCACTGATTCTCAAGTAATTCCACGCATTTCTTGCTAGGTTTATCAGTATTTTGCTACTAAAGGACATATATTTAAGTATGGTAAAATAATTAAGTCAGTAATTATATTTCCACTACAGACTTTAAACTATAGTAAATTTCAAGGTTAAGGATGACCTATACAAAAATATACTTAAGTTTTATATAAGAGTTTTTTAAAGAGTTAAATAAAACTCAGAGAATTTTGTGAAGTCATTATTAATTTGTTTTTGTAAAGGGTTGTTTTTTTTTTGTTTGTTGTTTTTTTGGAAGTGGCTTTAGGCTCTTACATATTAACAGTCAATATTGAAAAACAGTATTTTCTTGCTATGAGTTAGCTTGACCTGTTTTGAAATTGGTAACTCAGGGAAGCAAAGCTGCCTTTGCTAGTTTATAAATAAAGATAAAAATAACAAAAGTACCCAGGATTCATATCTGATATTTGAATACCAGATTCAGGTCTGGTATTCAAAATATATAAAGAATTCATTTATTATGGCCAAATGGTATTCCATTGTGGAAATGTACTGCAGCTCTTTTGTGTCCACTCATCATGGGCACTTGGGCTACTTTCAAATCTTGGGTATTATAAATAATGCTGCAATGAAGGAATTAGTGTTTCAGGTTTCTGTGCATGTGCTCCCAGATTGCAACAGCATGGATGGACCTGGAGAGTATTACACTAAGTGAAATAAGCCAGTCAGAGAAAAACAAGTACCATATGATTTCACTCCTAAGTGGAATGTAATTAACCAAGTAAACTAACAAAGTGGAGACAGACTCATGGGATAGAGAACAGCTGTCAGAGGTGAGGGTGGTGGGGGATGGGTGAGAAGGGTAAAGAGACTGAGAAAAAAAAAAAAAAAAGATTCTCATGGACATAGACAATAGTATGGTGGTTGCCAAAGAGAAAAGGGGTGGGGAAAGGTAGAAGAGGATAAAGAAGAGATAAGCGGTGTTAGAAGGAGACTTGACTTGGGTGGTAAACACACAGTATAATATACAAATGATGTATTGTAGACCAGAAACTTATATAATTTTATTAACCAATGTCACCTTTATAAATTCAATAAAAATAAATTTAAAACTTACAAAGAATTCTTAAAACTCAACATAAGAAAACAACCTTTAAAAAAAAGGGGGGTGGGGCAAAAACTTTAATAGATATGTTATCAAGGAAGATGGCAAATAAGCACCTGAAAAAATGCTCCACATCAGATGTTGTCAGGGAAATATAAATTAAAACACTAATGAGATACCACTTCATACCTGAGGTAGCTTGACCTGTTTTGAAATACAAACACCTACAACACTAAATGCTGACCAGGATGAAGAAGAGCAGTAGCAACTCTGATTCATTGCTGGTGGAAATGCAAAATGGTGGGTAGCCACTTTGGAAGATAGTTTGGCTGTTTCTTAGAAAACTAAACATGCTCTTACCACACAATCCATCATTGATGCTCTTTGGATTTGGAAAATCTGCAAATGGATGTTTATAGTACCTTTATTCTTAATTGCTAAATCTTGGAGGCAACCAAGATGTCCTTCAATAGGTGGTTAGATGAATAAAGTGTGATACATTCAGACAACACTGATGGCTTTTTCATAAGTTATATATTATGTAAAGTCATGGATGCAACCAAAACCGGTTTGGCTCAGTGGTAGAGCGTCGGTCTGCGGACTGAAAGGTCCCAGGTTCAATTCCGGTCAAGGGCATGTACGTTGGTTGCGGGCACATCCCCGGAAGGGGGTGTGCAAGAGGCAGCTGGTCGATGTTTCTCTCTCATCGACGTTTCTAGCTCTCTATCTCTCTCCCTTCCTCTTTGTAAAAAATCAATAAAATATATATTTTTAAAAATAAAGTCATGGATGTAGCCTCAACATAAGTGATGATTTTTTTTAATGTGTAAGAAAAATAGTTTTTAAAGCCATATATATTTATTGTGATAATCATTACTACCGTGTTTCCCCGAAAATAAGATATCCTCCGAAAATAAGACCTACTCAGAGGTTTCCTTCTGAGAGAAATATAAGGCAACCCCTGATAATAAGGCCCCCCTAGGCTCAACATGAGATATTTGGTCCACTGATTCTGAAAGAAATGGAGTCACAAGAAATTCACCAGGAAATTCAGGAATTGGATTGTTATGATGATGTTCCAGAAGATGATGACATGATTGTCATTGAATGAGTAAATTCTTGATACTGTAGGATTCAGTTTGTTTGGTTTGTGTTGACAACTACCGTACTACCGTACCGTATACAGGTAATAAATTTCCTTTATTTTTATTTAACAATAAATGTGTACCGTATTCTTCTTCATGGTAAAATAATATATCCCCTGAAAATAAAATCTAGTGCATCTTTGGGAGCAAAAATTAATATAAGACATTGTCTTATTTTCAGAGAAACGGGGTATTTGTCTTTAAATTGTGGTTTTTACTCTCCCTAATTTACATTACATCAAGAGTCCTCTCATGTAGTAAGAATGATACTTTAATATTGTTAGTTTTTTAAAATATAGCTGCTAAATGGTCTTACCATTTGGGACTTAATGTTTTGTATTACATTTGCATGTTTCATTAATGTTGATGCGAAAAACAAAATGTTTTGAGTAACTTAGAAGCATCTTTAATTGATCATGTCTAACTCAGAATATGATAGAATGTTTTAAACGTTACCTAGGGTCATGAAAATTTTAGCGTTTAAGGGATTTTAGTAGTATAGCTTAATTGGTTTTCATGAAAATTTTGAAATATGCTTGTGTTGCTGTGAGAGTAAGGAATAAAGACAAGATTTCTTTGTTTTGTTCAAGACACCTAGCTGTTGGGCAGAAGAGGGAGCAGAAGAGAGGTCACATCAGCGTTCTGCATCATGGGGGAGTGCTGATCAACTGAAAGAGGTGAGGTATTTCTGGTTATAATCTATAACCTATTTTTATCCTAGAAAATTACCTTATCATTTTTTGAACATAATGGTATTTTTCTTTCAGAGTTTAAGAGTTGCCCTCCACGTTTTAGTGAACAAATCCAAGTTTACCTTATTTGTGCTCTTCATGTTCTTTATAAATGTTCTGCACACTCTCAGCTTTTGCCTTTTCCAAAATGAATTCTTAATTTTACTTACAATTGCTATATCTTCTTCATTTTGGTTGTCTTTTGTTCCCACTTGAGCTTTCTTGTTTTTGAGTTATAGCAATGAGAACTATAGATTATAGCTTTGTGCAATGGTAGGAAAGTCTTTTCTTCTAATAACTTTTTCATGATAGTTAGCTTATTGGTGTCCTTGGAGACCCAGTAGTACAGTGGAATTCATATATTTTGTAGTTTTTATTCTCTTACTCATTATGAGTAACCCAATTTGTGATAATCTTTGTGTATATTTTGGGTTATTTTTTCCTGATCGTTCTATTTTTTATCTATCTAAATTCTCTTATTTTCATAGAAACTGAGTTGAAGGGTCACCTAGTTCTGCGGTTAGCAACCTTTCGGACCTCACGGACCACCAGTGGTCGGCGGACCACCAGTGGTCGGCAGACCACTAGTTGGCAACCACTGATTTAGTCTATCTCCTATGTAAACACTCCTTTAAAAAAATGGAAATCCAGTCTATTTTGATCATTCTTGGTGAGAGAAGCTCCTCACTTAGCTAGAGAACCAAACTAGTTCAGTTGTTTTAGCTTAAGTTGTTAAATAGTTAATTTTGTATATTGAATTCAGAATTATATCCCTTAGTTTTGACTCTGCCCTCGGTATCATTGTGTAAGTCAACTTTAAATGTTATTTTTCTCTAGGATAAACATTGACATTTCTCTCAAATAACTTTTATAGATACCATAGTTTCCATAATTTTAGTATCATTTTAATATACTATAGCTATCAGTATCTTGCATATACTATGATATATAGACTGAATAGTTTCTCTATAATATTAATGTAGAGAAATTCTCAACTTTTGTCTGCCCTACACATAAATGTATGTACACAAAATCAGTTTTTCCCAGCAGCAAGGAAAAAAAGAAACGAAGGGAGGGTGGGAAAGAGGGAGGGAGGGAAAAAACTGGTTTAATATATCTAAAGTAACTACATATTTGTGCATAAAATACAAATACCCCCCAAAAATTAAATTTTCAGTTTTATCTCAGAAGTCAATACAATCTCAAAGCAATAGCTAAGATTTGGTATGGTTGAACTTTGGATTGCAACAACATAGGATATGCATGATTGAAAAAGGAATGGCTAGCATTTATTACTGAGTGGGAGATTTGATTACTCTCCCCACACAGCAACATAACACTGGTTAAAACAAATAATTCAGTGTTCTGGAAATCAGACAAACAAATTGAGAAGTTTTGTTCATGAAAAGTACTAAACTCAAGGCAAGAATAACACAGGTTTGTGATGTTCTTATCTGGTGCCATTCCTTTCCCCCTCCTTACTCATCCCCTGCTTTGTTGGTGTGATATTTCAACCAGGATGGAGCAGGCCTTGAAAACCAGAAGCTTTGCTGCCCTACTGCTGGTAGAGTACTTGATAGAGAGTATAGAAGATTGAAATAGTCATCTTAGTTGCAAATGAATAGGGAGAAATAATGGCTTTGTGAGTCTGAGGTTGAAGTCTTGTTTATGGCAAGCAAGATTTTATCAAGTTGTAAGAGGCAAGATAGCCACAGGGGCTTGATAAGTTCACCACATCTATCCCAGCTTGACTGGATATGCACAGCAGAAAATGAAGTGGGCCCAAACCATCCATGCATCACTGGTCAGTGCAGCTTATAAATACATAAAGAGGAGATTCAAGTAGGCCTGGTGATAATAAAATTTGGGGCCAACTTGTAAAGGGCTCAGACTTTGCACTACTCATTCTATACTCAAATTACATCTAGGAGTAGAAGCTTTACTGGATTTTAACACTCAGTATCATTATCAAAATGGTAATTCTCCCAAAATTGATTCACAGTGATCACTGTTAAAATGTCATACCTTTTGTTTTGGGCAGAAATTAACAAGGTAATAATCCTAAGATTTATGTGGAAATGCAAAGGACCTAGAATGGATAAAATAATTTTGAAAGCGAGAAAAATTTTGGGAGGACTTACATTACACAATTTCAATACTTTTTATAAATGTACATTAGTGCAGTTGGCCAATAATTAGCATAAAAGAAGACATACAGATAAATGGATCAAAATTGTGAATCCAGGAATATACCTTATATTTATGGTCAGTTGATTTCATTCAGTAAAGTTGCCAACACAGTTCACTTGAAAAGGACAGTTTTTCCATCCTAGGTACTGGGATAATTTTATATCCATATATAAAGAAAAAAACTTAGAGAAAAATGAACTCAAAATGGATCATAGTTCTAAATATAAGTTCTAAAATTATAAAACTCCTAGAAGATATTAGATTAAGTGGGGCACTCTTAGGTGCAAGGCAATAAGAGAAAAAAAATATGAATTGAACTTTATTAAGTGAACATTTACATGTGACTAAGAGCATGCACAGACAAGCCCCAGGCTGAAAAAAAATATTAGAAAATCATGTATTTGATATAGATCTTATCCACAGAATATATAAGGGACTCATACAAATTAATAAGACAACCCAATGAGTAATACACTTGAATAGAAGTATTTTCCCCAAATATTTATGGGTACCAAATGTGTTCAGCATCATTAGTCATTAGACAAATGCAAATTAAACCATTAAATACAACTACACACCAACTATAATTACTTTAATTTAAGAGACAAGGTTGAGAATTGAAATGGATGGAGAGAATCTGGACCCCTCATACATTTTGGGGAATATAAAGTATTATAGTACAGTGACTTTGGAAAATAGTTTCTTTAAAAGTTAAATCGTCAACTTAGCATATAACCCAGTAATTCCATTCCTAGGAATCTGTATAATAAAGATGAAAACACCTGTGTACTTTAAGACATATACTGTTGTTAATAGCAGAGTTATTCAGAACAACTAAAAACTGGAAATTATTAATCAGTTGGTAACTGGATAAATGAAATGTTGTATACTCATGCAATAGCATACTATTCAGCAATAAAAGGAAACAATGTACTGAATATTAATGCATGCTACAGTGTAAATGAAGCTCAAGAAGATTTTACTAAGTTAAGGGTTGGCAATATTTTTCTGTAAAAGGCCAGATAGTAAATATTTTAGGGTTTGTGGGCCTTATTATCTTTGTTGCCACCACTCAGCTCTGCTATTGTAATGTGAAAGCAGCCATAGACAAAATGCAGTGGATATCGTTATGCTCCAATAAATTTTATTTACAAAAACATGTGGCAGGCTAGATTTGACCTGAAGATTGTAGTTTTTAAATTCTTGTTAAATGAAAGAAGCCAGATGAATAAGACTACCTATGATATGGTTCCATTTATATTGAAATGCCAGAAAAGACAAATTTATACAGGAACAAAAGAAACCCATTAGTGGTTGCTTGTGGCCAGGAGTGGGGTTGGGGGATTGGTGATTGGCTACAAATAGACTCAAATCAAATTTGGGGCTGATGAAATAACTCTAAAACTGCATTATGATTATTGTTATAGAATTCTGAAAAGTAATTAAAAATTACTGAATTTTACCCTTCAAATGGATGAAGTTAAGGGAATGTAATTTTTATCTCAGTAAAGATGAAAGAAAAAACTGGAAAAAATATAAAAGACTGGTGGCTTTTTCATGATATGTCATGAAGGTATTAAATTTTATATGATGCATATAACTATGGCTAGAGAAAGTATCAGAGTATATGGGTGAAGACTAAAAGTAAAAAGAATCAGCATTTGAGAAAATTATGAAAAGTAAGAGCTATTATTGAAATAGTAATATTTTTAAAAGTTATATACTGTAGTGTTTTTTAAAAATGACTTGAGCCCTGGCCTGGTGGCTCAGCTGGTTGGAGCATCATGGGATACATTGCAAAGATTTCAGGTTTGATTCTTGGTTTGGGCGTAGGTGGGAGGCAACGGATCAGATCAATGTTTCTCTCTCATACCAATGTTTCTCTCTCCCCCTTCCTCTCTCAAATCAGTCAAATAGGTGGATGGGTGGGTAAATGGAAGGGAGGGAGGGAGAGAGGGAGGGCAGAAACAAACTTGGGTCATATTGCTGGGGACTAGGGAGGTTTTTAAGCCAATTTTAAGAAAGTGTAGATTTCTACACATTTTAAGAGCACCAAATATATCTTGCAAATACATGGTGAGAGATTGGAATGGGGCTGTTTGCATAAATGGAGACCTGGGACTATGTTTGTAGGCAGTAAAACTGTACCTCAAATAACCCCATGTGACATTGTTGGTGTTTTCCTGTGGGCCAAAGAGACAGCTATGTAAAATGGAAATAGTAACCATATGCTGTGTGTGTATATGGCATCTGGAATAGAGCTCTTCCAATGTGGGACCAAAGCCCCAGTCATACTAATTTAAAACCTGCTCTTGAGCTATGCAACTCCAGAGGCCAGTCTGAGCAACCATGAAGTAACATGGCAGGAAAGAGCTCACCAAGAACAACACTCTCTTGTAAGGTGATCTTGCAGACAAGTATTTTAGGGAATGTAAAGAAAAATCTATTGCCATAACAGACAGCAGATGCATTAAATAGAATCCTATACATCTGAAGAAATAAGGATAAGAACACAGTCCCAAAAATAACTTTAAAATAAGAATGTTTAGAATTTCAAATGAAATAATAACTTGTAATGAGAATAGAAATAAATAAGAACAGGCAGGATGATAAAGATCATTTGAAAATTTGTTAAGGAACAAAAGTTGGTGAAATAAACAACTGTTTACTGTATCCAAAGGAAATAGCAGAAGAGAATTAGTGAATCAAAAGACTCAACTGAGAAGTGAAAGTCAGGATAAGCAAATCATCTAAAA